ATGGTTGACTGCCAAAAAGCCATGAGTTTTAGAGTTCATAACCATAACACTAATCATGCTAAGAGGGAGAGAAGAATGACTGGGGGAGAAAAGTACCCTGCCCAGATCTGAAGGGTTATTCAAACAGCCTGGCTCCAAGGTAGGAATTTTGGCCCTCTGTTAATGGAGCAACTCGGGGTGAGGAATTGATAAAATCACTTTGCTGAGCCCCCTAAGGACCCTGCAGGGAGTCCTGCATGAGATGGCTGAGGTTATGCTTTGTCAACAACCTCCTCTCCCAGCCTTCCACCTCAATTCTCCACCTTCCCACAGCAGTTAAATGGCTTTCTGTCCGACACCAGGGTCTTAACAAGAAAAGTGCAACTCAGAAAACAAGGAAGCAGGTAATACCAATAAACTCTGAAATTCAACTGCACTTCACAAGAAGACAAAAATAGCAATGAAAACCAGTGACAACCAGCAGAACAAGCTGGGAGGACAGCACTTCGAGAGGTAGCGGTCAGGGACCACAGAGGCTATGCACTGTAAATAAAAGTTAAATAAAGTTAACCCTGAGAAGCCAGGCCAGGACTGCAGACCTGGGTGTTTCTCACACGTGGTGACTACTGCCAGAAAAAGCAAGAGGTGGACCACCAAGGGAGTGGAGATGAACATCAGGCTCCATGCAGCACCAGGGAGAGAACATCAGGCACCAGCACATCTCTCCGTGGGCTGGCACAGCACCTGCCTGGCACCCAGCAACAAAACAAACACCCAGCAACTCCCAGCAACAGCCAGCACAGACACAGTGAACAGCCACGAACTGTGAGATGAAACGCAAAGACCCATAAAATTTTAAGTGTAAAATGCAAATCTAGTTATACTAAACGTTGCTTTTAGGAGCTGGCTGGGAACGGGAGCGGGGAGAGGAGAGGGAGGAGCACAAAGTTCCCCTGGAAGCACTTTCCAGTGTACCTCCACTATTGTTCCACCAACAAAGGCTTCTCAAATTTCACCACTCATAACTCCAAACCAGCCAGAGTTCCACGCTGTGACTGACTGCCTCCCAAATACTCCAGAGAGCACAAGGCTGAGCTGCAGACATCTCTTTCCAATTTCACATGGATTTTCACAGCGGAGGTTCGGGGTCCTGTGCTCAGGGGAGCCAGGCTCGGTGGGGACTTCAAAGGGGTTGGCAGAGGACAAGAAAATGAGAGACCTGAGAGCTGGTGGTGGGCACACAGCAGAGAACTGCCACATCATGGAAAGAACTTCAACAATACTCCCCTCCTATTTTCCCTCTCTCTCACTCATGCCTTAGTCCACCTTAGCTCAGGCTTTCCTCATACTCTCTGTTCCTGTATCTGAAAAATATATGAAGTTAATTTTTTACTTAAAAGGAACTTTCAACCAGTTCACAGAATTTGGATCAAGAGACGTATTTTCAAAACAGTATCGATATTCATCATTATGTAAGAATTGCAAGTCACAGGAGGTCTCTCAAGTTAAACATTAAATTTCACATTAAAATTTGATAATGCTGACACAAACGGATACCACAGTAGTTATTACTGCTTTTAATGTGCCACTGTTCACTCCACTCAGACAAGTTAACATCTACATAATTAATAGCTCCAATCTCTAACACAGTATCTGTATCCTGGGAGCTAGAAGTATTTATTACTTAGGCTTTACCAGTCACCTCTTTTAGTTTCAAACTGAGCTTTCAGTAAACGAAAAATTTAAATTTTAAAATAAAAATTTAAATTAGTTTACAAAACACGTTAAAGAAGAAAATTAATCTTACTCAAAAGCATTTCACAAGTTTACAGCTTCAGTAGAAACAGGTGTACATTCAGAGAGGAATCAAAGCATTTATCACATCACTGCTGCATTTACACTCCCTGCCCTTTCAATTCTCACACAAACCACTGGGTCACACTCACTGACCAAAGCAGTATCATTTGCACCAATATTACTGATCCCCAACAATCTTAGCAAGATCTCTAAAAAAAAAAAAAGGTATGATTTGGAAAAAAACCCCCATGTGTCCATTATTATTGAGCTGGGTCAGCAAGGACAAGTGTCAGTGAGGAACATTAAGTGTTCTTTGAGCTTACAGTCACATGGGAAGACAAAGCTGTTCTCAAAACCTCCTACAGAAGTTAGCTGTCCATTTTTTATTGAAAAGCACTAGGAAATACATGCCCACAGCACTCCATCTCACACAGCTTGTTTGAGAACAAGGCCTTCCCAAAACCAAACGCATTGAACCTGATCGGGGAGCTCGGAGTATAAAACCATTGGGATGCTCTGGAAAACCCAGCCACAAAGCCTGCCTTGAAAACACTGCAGTGCAAACAATGCACGAGTGAAAAATCATCACCTGGGATTCTTAATTCCCAAGTCTAGTGTCCCAGGGTTTCAAAAACCCACTTCCACCACTACTGACCTAAGATAGTCTTCCTTGTTCGGGGTCACGCTGCAGAAGTTCATCCCACACAAAAAGCCATGAGGATCATCACCGCTGTGATTCCACCATTTTTACTAGTTTGAATGTAACATCCTCTCTTGCATCTCTGAGACATTCCAAGATCAAATACACTCTGAAGTCCCGGCCTCCTCACACATTATCACCTCAGCTAATGTCTGGAGTTTGGGGGACACCCACAAGAATTCTGGGGGTCAGTATTTCTGTGGCATCACACCACCACACTGGATCTCCTTGAGGAACCTAGTATCAACCCCCCAGGCTTCCCTGCCTCTGTGGAAGACACCTGACAGGCCTTGCATCTGCACACTGGGAAAGAGGCAGCGCTCCTCTGGAAAGAGAAAGCCCTAGCTTCATTTTCAGCAAGATCCTCTGACATACATTTAAATGCAAGAAGCTGCACCAAAGGGGACTGGCCAACAGCAATTCCAGCACATCTGATCAAAGCCACAAGAACAAGCAAGCTCTACAGGCTTTCCTTAGATCACCTCACTCTGGGTGCCCTGACTCTGAAAACTGAAAAAACACTCCCTGAAGAGCATCAACCACAGCCAACAAAATCACAAAGGCACACATGCAGTGGGATATGTATCGCACCAATCCACAAGCAACTAACCTGAGAACCCTGGCTCCCTCACTGACAGGGAGGGAGGCTGCTAACACAGGCATTCCAGCTACTGCAGGCTCCAATCCATGTGGGAGGACCAGCCTCCAAACTCAACATATGGAAGATCGGTACCCAAGGAGTTTGGGAGGTGCCAGAAGTCAGATTGTCTGAATACTCCTGGATCCAGGGGAGATGGGGAACCTCAGCAGCTCACCATAACCCTTCCTGGGTTGATCCAGACTTTAACTAACCAAGAAACAGGACAGAGAACTTCCACTTTTTAAACACGAGAACTTATTTCTTCAAACGAAGGAGTTCCTTCAAACTCAAACTCATTGTTATTATCTTTTTTCTAACTTTATTAAGGTAAGGAGACGTACAATACAAAGAACTGGGTCACAAATGAGATAAATCAGGAACAACCCAGCTTGCTTATTTCAGGGGATGATTTTATAAACACAGGGGGTGAGTTTATAAAACATCCTCCTAGCATTGTGAAAACTAGCTTTCCATGAAAAATAAACTTTTTATAAAGAATACAAGAATACTATAATCCATGTACTGGTCACCATACGTAACCCATTGCCATTCTGCACACTTCTCTGCTTGGACAACAAAACCAGTTCTGGTCATTAACAATTGCCAATAGTCTCTTCTACTCCTTGGTGCTGCTGCGTATCAGGCACTGCAAGATTCTTTTATATTGCAGAGCCATTTTCCTTTGTGTTAAAATTCCCTAAAGCTTGCAAGGGAACTAAGGTAGAGTATATCCCTTTAACATAGTTTAACCACCCTTAATATTTGGAATGGAAAATGTGACTTAGGTACTGAGGTTTAAAAAACAGCTACGTTGCATGTGGCCAATTTTCTAAACATGAATCTCATAAGGTTTTTTAGGGCCTTTTTTTCCCCCTTCTTTCTATTTTTTTTCCCAGGAGAATGCAGGGCTTACAGAGACAGCCAGCTAAATGCAACAGACCATTATGGCCCAGAGGTTTCCAATTTGCAGCTAGAAATGGTTTACATTACGAAAACTAACAGTTCCAAAAGGTATTTAAAAAGAAGAGTGGGGGAGAAAAAAAAAACAACACACACCAGCATTTCATAAGCGCCTAAATATGGACTGGCAAGGAAATAAATTTAATCTATGCAGTTAATAGCCAGTCTTACCAAAAAAAGCGTTTAGGAGAAAATGGCTTTATGTGGCTTTAAGATAACTGAAACCACATTTTTTACACAGCTCGGTGCTGTGTTTTAGCGAAACGTGGAGTCCCTGGGCATTGTCAGGGGCAGGGACGCGGGACACCCGCCGGGGGTGCGGGAGCAGAGCAGGGCGAGCCCGGGGAGGGCGGGGCGGCCCCGCTGGACACGGGTTTGTCTCAGAACGCTCGGGGGGGGGGGAGAGGCATGGAATGAAAAAAAATTTTTGAAAAATTAAAAAAAAAAAAATAAAGGAAGGAAGGAAGGAAGAAAGAAAGTTGAGCGCAGTGCCGCGGGTCGGTGCCGGCTGCCCCGCTCCCCCCGCACCGCGGGGCTCCCCGCGGACGGCACGGCCGGAGCGGGGCCCTGGCGGGGGGAGCCCCGCACACCGGGAGCCCCGCAGAGCCCCCGCACTCCGCCGGGACCCTCGCCCGCCCCGCCCCGCTCCCGGCCCGGCTCCCCGCGGCCCCACCGCCTCCGCCCAGCGGAGAACTTGGCGGACGGGCGAACGCGGGGCTCGCTCGGAACCGCGGCCGCCCTTACCCTCCGGCTCCATCTGGTCCCGCCGCCGCGCTCCGGCGCTCCCCGAGCCGCTACGCGCCGAGCTGGGCCGGGCGCTTACAAAGGCGGCCGCCGGGCGAGGGGGGTGGGTTTCCTCTCCCTCCCACTGCAGCTGCATCGCGCCATGAGGCGCCGCCAGCGGGACGCGGCGCCCCCGAAGGCGGCGGAGGCGGGAGGAGCCCCCGGCCCGGCCCGGCGCGGCGCAGGAGGCCGCGGGACCAGGTGCTGCTGCCGGCGGCGGCGAAGGGTCGCCCTCGCCCGCCCCTCGTGAGGGGTGGGGGCCGAGAGGAGGGGGAGGACACCCCTCCCTGTCCTGGGGAAGCGGCGCCCGGCGCTGGCGCGGTCCCCGGGCAGCGCTGCGAGGAGCCGGAGCGGCCCCGGGCCGCGCTCCCCACACCGCGCTCCCCACAGCAGCGAGGCCGCTCCCGCGCCGCGGGGACGGGGATCGTGGGGTCCCTCGGGCGAGAAGGAGGAGGGCGAACCTCGAAATCACGTCACGGGCGGCAGAAAGGGAAACGGAAGGGCTGCAGGCTCCGCGCCAGCCGCTGCCCTGGGAGCCAAAAGCTCCGCAGTGCGGCTGGTGGGGCTCGGGGGGAGCCCGGCTGAGACCCGGGGCTGCGGGTGCCTGCCCTGCCCGACCTCCTGCCCTCCGTGTTCGTGTCAGAGAGCAATTCAGACACGAATTTCGTCTGAGGGGGGACCAAACCCTGTTGTTCGCTCCCCCTCAGGCAACTAGCCTCTTTCCCACTTGCCAGAACCATCCCAAGCAACAAGGTCTTTCTTTTTGAAACAAGGTCTTTCTTCTTGAAAACCGGGGGCGCCCGAGTCGCTGCTGTGTGCCTGGACAGGGAGCAGCTGAGGTGGAGGGGGATGCTCTCCTTCACGGCGCCGGTGAAGTGCTCCTTCTGCAGCCAGGTAAAGCCCTGCGTCCTCAGGTGAGGCACATCTTTAAAGGAGAGCGTTTGTGAGAGTTAAGATCTCCAGCTTCTCGTCACAAGGAAAAAAATAATACTGAGAAAAAAAAAAAACCTAAATATATTAAGCTTAAAAGCACCTATCACTCCATCTCTGAAAGCACGAAGTCATGTAAAATGGTCTTCACAAAGGCATTTACCTCCAGGAAAAAAAATGCAAAACAGTACAATGAGAAGTTATGTATGTTGAGCTTTAGTCTGTTTTCCATTACCCAGAAGTTGGTCATTGCTCCTTACTTCCCCCCTGAAATATCCAGCATTGATGTAGGCACCACTATGGAAATACACATTTGAGTACTTCAATAGCGTGGTGTAAGAGAAAAATAGTTTTATAATGGCAGTCATAAAATTAATTTCCTTGGACTAATTATTCCAGGATAATTCCAGGGTAACTCTGTGGATAGGGTCTCGTTCAACTAGCGTTAAGAAAGCAGATTTTTCAGTAATGAACCAATCTGAGTTTCTTGTTACTCTGGAAATCCTACCTGTTAATATGCAACTAACGATTTCAGAGATTTACTGCTGTACAAAATGGTTATGGCTCCCTGAGATTAGTCCTGTTCTTTAACACAACGAGGCAGGTCTTCTCTGTGGCACTTTGAGCAGAGCAGATCTGAGCTCACCGACCACTGCTGCACCTTATCAGGTATGATGGGAGTTCAGCAGAAACAAACTTACAAGTTGTTGAAAATTACCCGCCTTCTTTGCTCTCATGAAAACAAGGTCCACGCTATTAATTGCAAAGCGGAGGTAGACTTTATTTTAAGCATTTAAATATGTTTAATATATCACCAGAACATCAAATAACCAGTGTCCTTTAAAGTTATCTATTTATTTTCTGCCCAATTCTTTCCCCACCCTAGCCAGCATTTTGGTTTGAGTTTTGGGTTGGGTTTTTTTTTTTTTCCTAGAGAATTAGAGCATTTTTCATTGTAGGTGCTCTCATCATCTACAGTCTGGGTATGTGCAGTATTGAATTTGTATCTCTGACCAGAATCACTTAAGTAATTCAGGAGACAGTTTACAATTTAAGCAAGTTGCTTAAATTGCCATTGCTTTTGACCAGCAATGCACATGTGTGCAAGGGAGAAAAGGGCCAGTAAATGCAGTGTGAGCAGTTAGCAAAGTTCATACAAATACTCTTTCTCCCCAAAAAGAAAAAAAGTTGCCTGTCATATCACATTAAAATTCTTGTACAAGAATAGCTGTCTCAACACAAAGTGACTCTCCTTCATGGTAGGCTTTGCAGTTCAATAAGGATTACCATTGCATGTCCAGGAAAGATAAATCTAGTGAGGGTGTAAAAATAACCTCTTCTGGATTTAATGAGACATTGGAGACCAAAGAGCCAAGGCTTTGCAAATACATGGGGTCTGTCTGACGTGCTTTTCATGTAGGAGATGCATGTTGTGTTTCCTTCCGGATGATGTAATTCTCAGGGTGACCCTCATGTGCTTTTGCCATCATATGACACTCCACTGCAAACACAAAGTTCCTTTGTGTACAGAGTCCTTATTTATAACTCTTGGAATTTTGATCAGAGCTTTTTTTTTTTGTCCTTCCTGAAGGCACTACTTTTCACGTGAAGATGAAGATTTGAAGATTACTGTGACATGACTTTTAAGTACTTATGCAATATCATTCCCATGAATTAGGATCTGAGCCTTTTGCACTTGCAGAGAAAGCAGCACTGCTTTCTTTCTCATTTGCAAAGAGATTAAACCAGCAATTGCAATAAAAAAATTAACTTTATGGCAGCACTGAAGCTGATTCTGTTGCTTTCACTTTAAATTTGAAAAAAAAAAAAAAAAGGTCAGAAAAAAATATTTTTAAGCCAAAACCCTACTGGGGTAGGGTATGAGGGCTTTTTTAATTATACCTTAGGCAAAAGCAAATTTACTGCATATTCATGAACACCAGTTACCAGAGCAGCCAGGAATCCAACAGAAAAAAAGCACAGAACAACAGACAGATAGAAATAAGGAACTGCAGATAGGAGTAAAGCAGTTCTCCATTTGGGACACGCATCCTGTGGCAGCTTTTATGCCCCGGCATGTGATTTTTATAGCAGAGTGGAATAGTCTGTATTTTAGCCCCACTTCATAAAGGAGTTGAACTTAAATATTCATGGGGGCTTGAGTGTTAATTCTCTTCAACAATAGGCATTTCCAATCCTGCACTGTCTAATTTCACCGGTATGCTTTACATACTGGTTTAACAGGTTCTTTTCATTTAAATTGATGCAGATCTTATTAAGGTAATATAGCTCAGAATTGTTATTGGGACTCTCTGAAATTAGATTCATACAACAGGTCATGAGTGATCAGAGTGGGTCACCTGTTTCCAGAATCTGATCTTCACAACTGAAAATGTCCTCAAGGGGGGCACCAGAGCCATTCTTCATCTTTTCAATGCTGGGCCGGGGCAAACAGTTCTCCTGTTGCCATGGACTGACAAACAACAAGCTCCAGGAGCGGTGGATCCATTCCCTGTCTGCTGTCTCTGGGGTGAAATGAGGATGGTTCCCTGCATTATTCAGGGATTCCTAATTTGTCGACCAGAAAAGCTGCACTTAATGTGTGACTGTCCACGCTCACCCAAGGGGATGGTGAGGGTGAGGAGGTGTTGCTGACCACTAACAGCCAACATGTGTGGCTGCCAGCAGGGTCCTCACCTCTCAGTGAGTGTCTGTCTGTGTGCTGGCTGCAGCCAGAAGGCCGGGACTGAACTCAGGACAGAGCACAGCGGTGTTACAGGAACCTCTGTGCACAGATTAGGGTCTGTTTACTGTGGCTTTGCATTGATATTTTTGGGTTACTGAAAGCTGCAGGCTTGTCAGACGTGCACATTCATCTGCAGAACTGGGGGTGAACTCAGTGACCCAGAAGGTCCTTTCAGCTCCCCCGTTCATCATTTATTCTGTATCACTTTATACAGTAAATGAGGAGCTGTAGCTTGTCACCATTCGATTAAACACTTCCAAGCAACACTGACTTTCACACTACCCTCAAAAACAAGGTGTGCTTTATGAATTGGATCATCAGATATGGCACAGATGCATCCAGGGTTATGTGCTTCACAGTCTGTGTCTTTCAGGAGCATAAACCCCATTATTCAAAAGTAAAAGCACAGAGGTACCAAAGTGCCCTTAGCATTGAGCAGGATTAGAGTTAAGTCTTTTCACAAATTAAATAACCCAAAGGGCATTGTAGATTTTACCCAAGGTTTGCAGTAACCTGAAATCAGCCAAACTGAGATCCTGTCAGATTGCTGCTTTGATCACAGAGGCATTAAACCCAAATCTCTGTCAAACAGGAGAGGAAAATACTGTTTTTTCTGGGCACCATTAGATCAGAAATTTACTGCAGAAATGCTGACTTTTAAGACATGCTGCAGTGGTCTGGCAGACGTAAGGCATAGCTTTTAAATAGCAAGAAGGAATTACAGCACTTGATTTTTATCACCCTATCACTGTTAATCTGGGTTCAGAAACAGACACTGACTCATTTTGAATTCTGATAAAGGAGTTCTCATCTATTTTTTTTGGTGTTAATTTTATTCTACATGCATTCCGTGATTTATGTAATTATTCCGTGACTTAGGGATGACTCTGCAAATCAGCTGAAGCCAAAATATTTAGTAAAACTGCTTTACTCTGAAAAACAAAACAAAACGGTTAGTACAATATTTTTGTAATCTGTTACTAAATCACCCAGAACACAAACATGTCCTTTAAAAATAGAATCATAGAATCACAGAATGGTTTGGGTTGGAAGGGACCTTAAAGATCATCTGGTTCCAGCCCCTACATATATATTTCTGTGTATATGCATATATACATACACTTATATAAACCCTGAACTTCCTCCAGGTCAGAATCTGTGAGTGGCTTTTTAGCTGAAGCACTGTTGTTTTTAGGTATTTATCTACCAAATTATATAATAGATTTAAATTTTTACCTTGTGCAGGCATTTT